CGCTGGTGCAAGGGCGAGGAGAGCAGTGCCGGCGTCGGCGGGCACCCTCCCTGCGGGCTCCAGCGCCGGGTCGCCTCGAGGCGCAAAGCAGGGCTGCGAGAAACGACGACTTGTTTTTTAAAGATCCACGAGGGCAGGTCAGAGACCCGCGTGGGCGAGAGGGAGCACCCTCATCTCCGGGTCTGCGCCTGGCGCGCGGTCACCGAATCCAATTCCCAACCGGATTTACATTTTTGGCGTGATTTTACTGAAACGCGTCGAGACGAACGCGAGCAGAAGCGTCTCGACCTCTGCAAGGCCGGCCCCAGCCCCGCGGGGTAACGCCGGCCCCGGTTCGTGCGGGTTCTTCCTGCGTGTGTTCCACAGGGACGTGTGGCAAGTCAGGTGGGCAGCATCGACTCCGGTCGATTCAGGTTATTACATTACAAAAGCCTCAGTAAGAACATTAATTCAATTTCTGTCAGGAGATAACGACACCTTAATTCCCCTTCCCGGAGCCTGTTAGAAAAGAACAAGCCTCGGCAATCGCTATTTGCAGGCAGGCTTTAATAAAGCACACCCACATCAAACGAGGCTGCGCTCGGCTCTCTTCCCCCTTATTCTTTTCAGGACGCGGCTTAAAACTGGCTTCCTTCGTTTTAAAAGCAGCTTATCTGATCCTCTCACCAAGGCGCCCACTCCTTCCCTTTCTGATCACCTCGCCCAACACTTCCCAGCCCCCCGAACCAGCCTCCCACCCTTTCCTGGCCCATCGTGGCTTAAAATAAGAGGCGCTTTTCTGCCTATCCAGCTCTTTGGGATGCTGTGGGTGGTTTTTCCTCTCTTGGCTCAGGAGATGCTGCTGGGCGAGGGAGGCTCTCCGCCAACCAGACGTTTTGGGTGCACACCACCGGTCCAGCCTCACCCCCGCACACAGCAAAGCTGCTGCTGCTTCCCGGGGGGCGGCCGAGGGCATCGCTCCGCCGAGGCCCCTCTCCACCTGCGGTTTTTCTTTCTCTTTTTTTCTTTTCACCAGCTGCCTCACGTCTGGTGTCCGAAGCATCCAGCCCCTCGACGGGGTTGACGCTGCAGCGCGGCCTGCGCTTTCCTCCTGGGGACTTTCGCACGGGCGAGGGGCGCGAGCCGATATCCTGGGACCCCGCTCGAAGAGATGTGCCGGGCAGCGCTGCGTGGTGATGCGTTTCCATCGTTACGCCGCACAATGCTTCAGTACTTGTCTCTCGTTAGCTACGAACCACACGTTTACTGTTAGCGGTTGATTTTAGAGCTGTGAAATGACAGGATACTTCTTTGCTTTCTGAAATTATTATCTTAAACATAGATTTCCCGTTATTTGCTTTCAAGCTGTCAGGATGAGTTTCTTAGCCTGACACAGAGCGCCCAGAGGACCAGGTAGATGAAATATTACAAGCGGCATCGCTTGTGCTTTCCTCCTGAAATTAGATTTAGGCAATCCCCGAGTAAATAAAAAAATCATTTATTGCCGCTAGGCAAAAGTCTCTTTCACTTTGCGGTTAAATTACACTGGGGTTTGCCGCGTCACTAGAGCTGAAAAATTCACGTAGAGGCAAAACCCAGACAAGGGCAATTCCTTCTGATAACACGGAAAAATTCATGCCTTGACGTGCCGCCGCCCCCCCCCTGTCCCCCAGCCGCTGCCAGCGGGCGCCATGAGCCGTGGGCATAAATCGGCCGCCTGCAAATGTTTGTCACCGGCCTGGAAGATAACTAATTACAGCTCCCGCTCCTGCCTTTCTGCCCACGCTCTTGGTCCCCAAACCTCCGCGCGTGGCTCCTCGCCAGCCTGGGCTTTGCCGGTCCCCAAAGCGCCCGTCGGGGAGGGGGCCACCCAACCCCTACCGCC